TTCTCCTGAGCTAGCACTGGATAGTAATAATGTGAGATCCATTTCTGTTTTCCAGTAGTGTAGATTCAGACATACATGGTGAACCTGAATTGATATTTCTCATCCTCAAGCATAGGGTTACTCAGAAAAACTGGGTTTTACCTGTATTCCCACTTGATTTCTGAACAATAACTGAAAGTTTTTCCCTAGTCATACTTAAATAGTTACTACTTAAAAGTTACTTAAAAGTTAGTAACACAGCTGTAAAGTGAATCTGGCTTCCCCATTGACTTTGCTTGTCAGAAGGTCACAAAAGGTGATCACATGATTCCGGGACACCGCATCTGTCATAAACACATGCCAATTGCCAAGCATCTGAATTTTGATCACCTGACCATAGGGATGTTGCAATGATTATGAAAAGCAGTCATAAGTCACTTTTTTCAGTGCTGTTGTAACTTCGAACGGTCACTAAATAAATGGTTGTAAGTTGAGGACTACCTATAACTGCATTCCTATTAAGATACAGTTAGTCCTCACTTACTGATTGCCTTGTTTAATGCAACAATTCCTTACATTTACGACTGTTGCAGCATTTCACAGTCATGGGATCACCATTTGGGAACTTCATTAACAAGCAAATAGAGAAGGCAGAAATAAAATCATAAGTTGCAGTCACATGATGTTTCAGTTAGTGACTGTGGCATTTTTTTTAAAAAAATAGCCGAAGGCAAAGTAAGGTTGTCAGCGTGTCAGGGTCACGTGATGTTTCACTTAGCGCAGCGTCCTTTAGCAACCAAGTTGCCGGACACAATTGTGGTTGCTAAGTGAGGCCTACCTCTGGTATCTTCCCCCTTCTTGTTACACCATTTAAATCAGCTTCAAGGTACATAAAACCTGCCAGACTTTCACATCCATAGCTTTGGAGGGGAGTCGGGTGTTTTGCAGTGACTTAAAACAGAGCCAACAGAGGCAGAATAGGGATCAATGATGGAGATGGCCAGTGTGGTGTAGAGGTCAAGATAGCATACTACAAACCAGGAGACCATGAGTTCTAGTCCTGCCTTAGGTACAAAACCAGATGAAATACCTTGGGCACAGTCACCCTCTCTCAGCCCTTAGAACAAGGCAAAGGGAAACCCATTCTGAAAATGTATTGCCAAGAAAATTGTATGAACCTGTCCTAGTTGTCACCAGGAATCATGACTAATAGTATTAGAACAGAGCAGAACAGAACAGAACAGAACAGAATATAATAGAATAACAGAGTTGGAAGGGATCTTGAAGGTCTTCTAGTCCAACCCCCTGCTTAGGCAGGAAACCTTATACCATTTCAGACAAATGGCTGTCCAATCTCTTCTTAAAAACTTCCAGTGTTGGAGCATTCACAACTTCTAGAGGCAGGTTGTTCCACTGATTAAATATATAATATAGTATAGTTTTAACCAATATAGTTTTCGGCTAAAATAAAGGAAAGATGGTCAGCATTTCATTTTCTAGAACTATTTCTACAGTGGCAATGCTTCATAGCTCAAGCCCTATGCAATGTCATTTGACCTATTAATGAATGTGACGCACTGGGGGAAAAAAACTTTTGTGAAATCCTTCAGTTCAGAAGTTTCTTAGTGAGGGCTGGATAACCTGGACTTTGTGCTCTTCTAAGCAGTGCTCCTCATTTCTGTATCAGATCTCCATCCAAACTGAATGTAACTTTTGCTCAACCTCCCCACCTTTTCACTCCATCTTCCACTGGCATGGAGCCAGAGCAGAGTGACATGGCTTAGCAAGACAAGCACAGCAATAAGGAGCATAGTTGCCTGATGTTTCACGATGTCTTGTTTTCTAGGGGAGCCTTCTCATACATGCGGCGAGTGACCCAGAAAAGCACCGGTTTGGCTTTTGCTGCAAAGTTCATCCCATGCCGGGCCAAAGCTAAAAAATCAGCCCGTCGTGAGCTTGGCATTTTAGCTCAGTTGGACCATGAACGTATTGTTTACTTCCATGATGCCTTTGAGAAGAGGAATGCCCTCATCATCATTACAGAACTGTATCCTCTTTCATTTGTAGGGCTGTGTGGGCAGTGCAATGATCTGGGCAATAGCCTGTTTTGGTATCATTTGGGTAGGAGCATGTGGATATGCTCCTGGACATGCTGTTTCTGGTCCTGACATTTCTAAGCATCTATAAGTTAGGACAGGGCTTTTCAACCTTTTCACCCATTGTACCCCTTTTAGGATATGGCAATATCCGAGTACCACCAGTCGCCTAGCAAGGTGTCAAAAACTTGATGACCCCCCCCCAAAAAAGGGAAAAAAGTGATAAAGTACAGGTAGTCCTCGACTTACAACAGTTTGCTTAGTGACTGTTCAAACTTACAATGGCACTGAAAAAAGTGCCCCCCAAGCCACAGCCGAGCAAGATACCTGCCTGCCAACCCGGTGGTGCTCTTCCTCCTGTCCGAGGTTTCCATTGTTGTGAGCATTTCTGTTGAGGATTGGCAGCGGGGAGGGTGTTTGGTTTTTATCCCCCCCGTCTGCTGGGTGGTTGCAGCAGGCTTTGGTCACCTCACATGACCCTGGGACACTGTGACCGTCATAAATATGAATCAGTTGCCAAACATCTGAATGTAAATCACAAGACCCTGGAGATGCTGCAACATTCCAGCTGATTGGTGCTTCTTCTGGGCTCAGCAGAAGTGCCAGGATCAGCGCCGAGCTCCAGCTGGAGCCTGGCGCTGATCCTGGCGCTTCCGCTGAGCCCTGAAAGTCCAGAAGAAGCGCTGATCCTGGTGCTTCCGCTGAGCCCTGACAGCCCTGCAGCTCCAGCCATCTCCCGCTCAGGCTTGTGCGGTGCTGCCACCAGTTCAGCTCATTCCCCTCCCCCGCTACCACTTTTCTAGGATGGTCGTGTACCACCTGCCAGGTGCCAATGTACCACATGTGGTACCCATACCACTGGTTGAAAAGCCCTGAGTTAGGACACTGCCAAGAGAAACGTACTGTGTGGGGCCTCTTCTATAGGAAGCCACTAGCTTTTTTAAAGCCACTGTTTCCTTTAATGGACTCTTTAGCTGCACTGGAGAAGAACTGCTTGAGCGCATTGCCAGGAAGTCCTCTGTGAGCGAATCTGAAGTAAGTGCCAGCTCAAATAATCAATATCGGTTCTCCGAAGCATTTCTACTTGTTCATTGTCCTGGAATTTATTAATTAAAAAAAACAAATTACCCCAATCTTTACCAATAAAGCATCCCAAGTAGTTTACACTAAATTGCCTTTGTGCAAATCATAATATAAACCGTGCAGATCATCTTCCTGTGTTAGATTATATTCAGGATTAATAGATCTAATCAGCAATTAGTAAATTAAAAAGATGTTTAATCTTGTGCAAAAAAGAGAGAACAAAGAAAATACTAGGTGTAGCACTCTATTGCATGTAGCTCAGAACACTATCTGCTCAGTGGTGGGATTCAAATATGTGAACAACTGGTTCTCTGTGTGGATGCCGCTTCCGGAAGTCCATTCTGGGCCTGGGCAACAAAAAATTAGCTACCGGTTCTGCCGAACTGGTGCAAACTGGCTGAATCCCACCACTGCATCTGCTCTACTTTCAGTGCCAGGAAGACCTGGTCAAAAGCCCAAGAAGGATCTTAATTTTGATGTGGCTTTTAAGTATCCAGAGTCATTTAGGTCTTAGGTTTCGTTTGGGAATGGATCAGAAGCCCTTGGAGTTGTTGTTCTCTCTCACCTGCCTCCCTCCCTCCTTCAACTCAGTCTTTACTTCTGGTGACTGCCTGGACAGGTCTATGCAATTTTCCCTCAACATTTTTTAAAGTGATTTGCCATTCCCTCTTCCCAAGACTGAGAGAGAAGTGGCTGGCCTAAGCCAGCCAGTCTCCTGCTTTCTAGTCCAGTGCCTTTAACCATTACATCAAACTGGCTTTTAAAAACTGGTAATACATATTGCAAAAGTCCCCAGAAAATGTTACTAGAACTTAAGCATTAAGCATTTAGGCTATCTCTGCACAGCTAGGCCCCATATCCGCTCTCATTCAAGATTATGAATGTGGTCAGAGAGATGGTGGTGCCATTTCTCATGCTAGATCAGCGGTTCTCAACCTATGGGTCGCGACCCCATTTGGGGTCGATCAACCATTTCACGGGGGTCACCAAGCAAGGCTGTCCGCCATCTTTTTCCCCCTTTTCCGGCAGGTGCCTTACCTCCCTTGGGCTGGGCCAGCTGGTGGTCGGCCTGCTCCATCTCTGCCGCTTGCCAGCTACGCCTCGGCCGGCGCAGGGGGCGGAACCACACATGCGCGGCACTCCCGGGCAGGGAAAGTCCTCGACTTACGACCGGTTGGGTAGTCCTCGACTTACGACCGGTTTAGTCCTCGACTTACGACCGGTTTAGTCTTCAACTTACGACCGGTTGGGGGTCACGGCATTAAAAAGGTTGAGAACCACTGTGCTAGATGAAGCTCCCACTACTACTATAACCTCTGTCTTGTCACGATTAAGGATTGGTTTGCTTGTTATTTGCCTCTATGACTAATCCCCGACAGTAGTTCAACTTTAGGTGACTTCATATGAATTGCATCCTACGAATGGAAATTTAGAGATGGAGATATTTAGAAGAACTGAGGATGCCTCATTTTGAACTTTGGGCAGAACAGCACTCCGTTGACACTAATTTTGGAAAGGTCTCTCCAGCCAAACCAAAACTAGAACAGTGTTCCTGCTCCAACTGCAAACAGGTTATCCAAAAGGATAATAATGCAGAAAGCTGGGCGGAAAAAACAAGCAACACTTGTTCTTCTCCTCCTCCTCAAGGGAAAGGTTTCAGCTAGGCAACCAAAGTAAATTCAGCAGCAGTCTCAGCACAAAGTATTGGATGAGTGAGGGATGGGAAGGGGACGCACCTGTTTGCTTGGCAGTGAACATGGAGTTACATTTGATTATATGGACACCTCTAATGCCATTGGGTTTTCCCCCCCCCCCCAATGCAGATCCGCTGCTACGTGAGGCAGGTCCTGGAGGGAATTTGTTACCTCCACCGCAATGGCATCTTACATCTTGACATTAAGGTGAGTCTGCTCCAGCATGCTTGCAGCCTCACTTGGTTTTCTGAACGTTTAACCTGTTTTGGCATGAAAGTATAATATCCTGGCTAGCTAACACATTCACTGCATGTTACATAAGAACTCAGTGAATGCAGTTCTCCTCTCTGCAGAGACAGTGGAAATTACAAGCTAAATCTTACTTTGGGTTGGCTAGCATCTTACTTTGGGTTGGCTAGCAACACACACAGAGAAACCATATGTCAAAATGGGCATGCCTTAATGTTCCATGATGCTAGCTACAATCTAGCAGGCATGCATGGCAAGTCCGTAAATAATTCAGTTACTTAGGAGTATCTGGAAAAGCGTATTGCTTTCCTAGGCTTTGGATCTGGGGTGGTTTCTCTTACTCTTCATTGTTCAGCAAAAGGAAGAAGTAGGCTGGATTTACTCTCAGTTGGGGCCATGTCACTTTTCTACCAGATCTGAGTGCAGTAGGTTAATGCAGTGTTTCTCATCCTCAGAACTTTAAGTGTGGACCCCAGTATGCAGGCTGGGGGATCCTGGGAGTTGAAGTCCACGTATATTAAAGTTGGTAAAATTGAGGAATACTAGGCTAATGAATGGTCTGTAAAAAAGTTCTGATCAACATAGGAAATAAAAGCCAACCGAAGTTAATGTTAACTTGTTTTCTGAAAAAAAAAGGTTCCAAAGCTAATGACGAGACTTCACCTTTGAAAAAACAATTGTATATAAATAGAAATAATGATTTTCTGTTTCTTCTCTCTCTCCTTATTTCTAGGGCTATATTGCCTCAGATATAGTATGAGAGAGTGAGAAAGGGCACAAACAAAATCCAAACTGGGTGGTTTTTATCTTTTGTTCATTTTCTTTTCCTTTTCATCTCCTCTTATGAGTTAGTGAGGAAGCAGCATTACTCCTATGGCTAGATATACAAGCCGATTCCTAGCAGAGGCATCTTAAATTAAGCCGAGAGGATTAGAAATTCCGCACCCCTGGCCTATCCTTTTAACAGGACTGAGCACAGTGCTTGTTGGGAAGTGTAATTTGAATAGAAGCAAAAAGGAGCAGGCCTTGAATGGCTGAAAAAATTTAACTGCTATTGTGCAAGCTTTTACTTTTAAAATAAACCTTATTGAAATTTTGCCTCACGTCTATCAAACAGAATAAAGTGGGCCTTCAGGAACACAGGCATTGCAATACTCTTTCTCATTTCAAGATGGCAACCACTTTTATGAACCATTGCCTCAAATTACATTGCTAAAGGTTGCAGAGAAAAGCTAAATGGATATGTAGGAAGAATTGAAGTATGGTTTGCTGGTTTGGCTGCTATTTGATGAATGGTAGAATTGAAATGGAGTCACCATTTTATTCACCCATGTCCCGTTTTTTTTCTTCCTACAAATGTTTCTAAGAGAACAGGATAACATAGAAATAGTATTTCAGCTGTTATATGAATTACGCCTCCTGTGGCAAGTAGGCACTAAGTTGCATTTACTGGCAAAATTTCAGGGAGTTCTAGAAAAAACAGAATTCGTGAAGGTGGAATATAACCGGTAGAGAAAGAAGCGTACCAGCATTTTGAGTTAATATTACACATTTGGAATTTCGGGAGCAGATTGTAGAATTAATCACACAAATGGTTGACATATAAAAATGGCCAATCATAAATAGTTTTCTTTTGGAAAAGAAACTAGAGCTTTTTCTCCTGCTTCCTACGTTATGGTTTTGGGTTTTTTTCAGGTTTTCTTGCCTATGGCACAATTCACAGTTTTGGCCTCCTCTTTTCTTTCCCATTATCAGATTTTTGTGATATCAGAAATGGAAATGGTAGTGTGGATTTGGAACGGTTAATTAGCCCTGAAGCAAGGAAAACTAATAGCTCAAAAGCATTTTTGTCAAATTGCAGGAGCTTGGATTGTTCAGCATACTGGGGAAAAATGAAAAGTTGCTTGACAAAGGAATTTCTGAGAGTTTCTAGTAAAAGAAGGTTTGGCATTAAAGGTTTTAAGGAAGATATGGAAGAAACAAAATTGATGGTAATTTCTATTACTTTCCCCAATTTTGATCAGAAATAGACATTAAGAAATGCACTTTTATCAGTGTCCATGGGCTGAATAATGCAAAGAAGGTGTAGGAAATCCTCTGGAGAATTAAGTAACTGTGGTAACCTCTGGTCAGCTAACAGGAATCTAAGGTCTGGTTTTGACTGGAATGCTATTTTAACTTTTTAAAATTATTTCCTTTTTGTTTCCCCCGTAGCCTGAAAACCTACTGCTGGCTGAACCAGGCAGTGATCAGGTGAGAATCTGTGACTTTGGCAATGCCCAGGAACTGACTCCAGATGAACCACAGTACTGCAAATATGGCACCCCCGAATTTGTTGGTCCTGAGATTGTCAGCCAGAGTCCCGTGTCCGTGGTCACCGATGTCTGGTAAATTGGGGCAACTTACACATTGTGATGTTTATCTTTGTGTGCATCCCTGAATGTAGATGTGGAGAAGGGACTTAAAGAGTATCATCTAGAGCAGGGATGTCAAACTGCCGGCCTGTAGGCCGGATGCGTCATGGCGAAACCGCACCCACCCCATTGCCAGCAATGGAAAAAAAGTCACGATATGTCGCAACACGTCACGTGACGTTGCGAGTTTGACACCCCTGATCTAGAGGTTTTAAGATATTGGAAAACAACCACAACTCAAAAATGGCTCTAGGGCGATGACTGCTTAGGGCAGTGATGGCAAACCTTTTAGAGACCGAGTGCCCAAAAACTGGCCCCGCTCCTTCTCCACTCCCTGCCCTGCCCCTGCCCTGTTGCCCTGCTTTGCCTGCCCACAGGGCCACTCACCGCCTCCAGGGCCCGCCGCAGATTGCCCAGGCAGCCCAGCAGCGCCAATGGTAGCCACACACCCTGCCTGTGTCCCGCAGCATCAACTGTGCATAATGGGGCGTGAGGCAGAGTCTTGTTCACGCTGCCTGGCTGCCATGTCCTTGGCTGCTCTGCTCCACGTGGGCCACGCTAGGGGGTGACTCTCCTCCAGGGGGGCTGCTGGTAAGGGGGTCATGGGGGGAGGCGAGGCTGGGGCAACAGCATGTGTGCTCACAGAGAGGGCTCCGAGTGCCGCCTCTGGCACACGTGCCATAGGTTCGCCACCACTGGCTTAGGGCAATGTTCTTGTATTTCTGCTTAAGATCGCTAGCTTCATGAAGAGCCTGGGGGATGGAGGTGATGGGAGAAAATGCCAAATGGCTCAGTGCCACAGATTATTTAGCATTCATAATTTCGCCGTCGGGGTGACATAAATCAGGTTTTTATGTCAGAACTGAAACCGCCTTGGGAAATGTGAGACAAGATCGCGGAATGAGATCATGCTACACAGCATTCTTCACCATGCTAGAATGTGCTTGTTTGAATTAAGAGTTGGATTTTTTTTCCTTCAAAACCTTTAAAAAAAAAATCCCAGGGACTCAGAACCCAGGACTTCTGAATTTATATTGATCAGCTTTTTTTAGATTTTCCAGATATAGATACCATCACTAGATGTTCTTATCAAAGCAGTGAAATTCTCTCTCATCTCTCTTTACAGGCCTGTGGGAGTCATGACATATCTATGGTAAGCCCCAAGTTTGGGGAGTTAATCCAGCACTCAGAACCTTTCCACCTCCCATATAATAGTGAATATGTGGCACAATGAGCAAGATTGGGGTTTTCCCTGTTCATCTGATTATAGTCTGGCCTGGCATTCATTTCTCTTTGGAGGGTTCTCATGCTGCAGATTATGGCTTGGGGAAACTTTGAAAAGCTACTACAATTTATTGGCGCCACTCTAGAATTGTTTGCTGTATGCATTGAGCAGATAAGGAAGCCCCAGACTTTATCCCACAAATGCCTTTTGAGCGTCTGCTAAGGATTTGCTGACTGTTCCCTCTCCTAGTCTCACAGGGATCTCCCCATTTGTGGGTGAAAATGACAAGACCACACTCATGAACATCCGCAACTACAACGTGGCCTTTGAGGAGAGCATGTTCACAGGACTGACCAGGGAGGCCAAAGGCTTTGTTATCAAGGTGCTGGTTAATGATCGCCTGTAAGTAATAGTTGCTACAGGGGATATGGTGGTCTGTGTGTGTGGGTGTAAATTGCATCACTTCCCCATACTAATAGACAGGGGTTGAAAGGAAACTTCTCCCAAAGTCACAGGGCCACAGGTGAAAAAAAGCTCTGAATAGGGTGAAAACAAAATCCAGACATACATTACAGATAATTCAGAGTTAAAATCCTAAAGAAGACAAGTGTGTTGATAACTGATACTTTCACTGCAATTTCTTTGGCCACCCATTAAATGAATATACAGTATGTATATATGTTACGGGGTGAGCTCCCATTACTTGCCCCAGTTCCTGCCCACCCAGCAGTTCAAAAGCAGGCAAATGCAAGTAGATAAATAGGTACCACTTTGGTGGGAAGGAAAACAGCATTCCGTGCATCTCAGCATATACCGCTAGTCAGGTTGGCCACATAATCACAGAAGTGTCTTTGGACAATGCTGGCTCCCTTGGCTAAGAAATGGAGGTGAGCACTATCTCTTAGAATCAGATACAACTGGACAGAAGAATCCTTTACTTTTACCTTTATTGTCATTTGATCTTGTCTATTAATAAAACAAAAATCAAAATTCAAGGTGTTTTAAGCGAGATTTATTATAATCATCCCAAACTTTGGGACTTTCAAGTGCCTTTAAAAAGGTAGAGAACTTTTCATAAAGTCAGTTGATTGGAGCCTCAGGAAGGATTGAATGAGTTTATGAACTTTGTTTTCTCTCAGTTATTCATTCTTTTGCATACTATTGACCTCAGTTCTTTTAAAATATTTTTTGCTAAATTTTATATGAAGTTCAGTGAATATTTCCCCAGATATATGCATGGGGATGTGGCATTTCGGAGATGGCTAATAAGTATATAACAACCCACCTCCTCCTTGTGCATACTTTGCTCCCTCCCTCTCCATCCATATCAGTTTTATTTTAACTGAATTTTAAATTGAAGATCCCTCATAACTGTTTTAGTATTTTAATAGTGCATTTTAATTGTGTGTAAGCTGCCTAGAGTCACCTCTGGTGAGATGGGTACCATACAAGTTTAAATGAACAAACAAACAAACAAACAATAAAGCAAACAGTTTTACCTCAGATGCATATTCTTACAAACATTTTACAGATTTTTCCTTAATATTTTAGCAAACAATGTCACAACACTTAAAACCATGCATTAACCAGGGTTATAACGTATGACATTAAATAAAGTCACAGTCCAGTGAGAAATAATGCAATTTCTTTTCCACCCCTGGAAAGTTGTACAAGGAGAAATTCTCCTTTTGATAAAACAAAGAAGGTATTCAGCTGGGGTTGACCAAATTTGCTGGAATGCAGCCAACTCCAACTTTGTTATTTCCCTGTACTAATGAATGCCACTTAATCTGCACATTAATCCTTCTTACCTTTTCCAAATAGGAGGCCTAATGCGGAGCAGACCCTGGAGCATCCCTGGTTCAAGGTGAGTCCTATTAAAATAATCTGCCTGCCTCTTGGGAAAGAACTGGGGAGCCTATTTGGGGGTCTCTCTCTCTCTCTCTCTCTCTCTCTCTCTCTCTCTCTCTCTCTCTCTCTCTCTCTCTCTCTCTCTCTCTCTCTCTCTCTCTCTCTCTCCCTCTCCCTCTCCCTCTCCCTCTCTCCCTCTCCCTCTCAGAAGCCCAGCAGGCTTGGGCTCCTCCCATAAACACTGAGAACAAAACTCACCGTGTCCAGTTGCTTCACTCTTTACCACCCATTTTCCCTTCCAGACACTGGCCAAGGGCAAGAGTATCAGCACAGATCATCTCAAGCTGTTCATATCTCGCAGGAAGTGGCAGGTAAGGAAAAAATATCTCCTAGCGATGTGGCGGCAGTTCTTTGGTGGTTTGACTGGGGGTTGCCATTTTGCTCAACCAAAAATAATGGGGAAAGAAGGAAGGAATGAGACAGAGAGATTCTACTAGGCATAATTCCAGCAGCTCACAGCTGCTCTTCAAGAAAAAAATGAATTCCGTTTCTGACATCCATGCTGTACTTTAGAAAAATTCATACGGAGAAATGGGAAAACTGAGAAATCCCAGTAAATTGCAACCATTTGTAATCCTTGTGTTCGTTTACAAATTTATTATTAATGCATGGCATCACAGAGGCAAAAACCCACTTTTCCTCTCTCCCAACACAATTTTTCATCCATACCCTGATGTTGTAGGAATAAGCCCCATTAAATACAGCAAAACAAAATTCTGAATTATATTTTATATATCTTTAAAGTATGCGGTGACAGCATTCAGAGTAACGTAGATTAAAAGTAGCTAAATTTGATATTAAATACCATAAAACAATGAATTAGAAAAGTAGTGGATAGCCACTAATTAGAAAAGATCAAAATACAGAATTGCACAGCTGGTCAATGACCTTTAATTGCAAATCTAACTTCTGATAACCAAGAATGCTGATAGGTCATGTACTTTTTATTCTCTATTATATATCACACTTTTCATGTGTTTTTCATGGACCTCTTTAGAAAACATTGATGCAGAAAAAGTACAAACGTGGTTTTACATGTTTGTAGAAGACATATTTGCTTTTTCCAAGGCTGACCAAAATTGTGTTGTTTTAAAGATGGGCCACTTATTCTGTTTAAATGGGTCTTGGAAAAAATATTTTAACCTAGCAAATATTTTGCCTGCTTAAGTCTGTACAGAACAGGATGGGGGATATTATTACTGGATAGGCACAGCAACCAAACCTATAAGGTGGAAGAGATGGGAGATTTCTACATTTTTGCCTGAATCCCAGCTCACTCTATCTCTCTGTCCTTCCTATACTTTTTTTACACAGCGCTCCCAGATTAGCTACAAGTGTAAC